CAGAAGAGACACTAAGGGTAATAAAACATTAAAAACAGAAAAAATAAAAATAAAAATACAAGTGATAAAATACACGTAGAAAAAACATATTTTTTCCCTGCTATGAAATATGTTATTGAACACTTCTTTATCTTTAATTTTACCTCCATGAGAACTAAATTTGAATAACTATTATATTATTCATTGCATGTTTTTTTTAATTGTAGTGGACCTTAGCCAATTAAAACTGATGCCTTATTGAATTATATATAACATTATATTAATAATACTGTATAATTTAGGTTGGTTGTGAGTTTACCATGAACTACATGCAGGGCCAGTAGGTTAAGATCAGTGGAAAAGTAGAAGAGAAGAGGGAAGCTAGACAAATGAATGTTAGTTTCTTATCTCACAATGCTTTTCTCTCTGCCATGCTCATTCTCCCTCTTCCCTCTCTTCTTGTCTCTCTCTTCCAGGTATAAGTTACTGTGCCAGGAGGAGGGGGAGTACTACAATGTTCCCATCTCAGAGGAGGATGATGGGAATGAGGAACTGAGGCAGAAATTTGAGGTGACGATTATGCTGAAATAATCACCACTGCCATCTATTTGTCTGTTTCTCGACTTGAATTATCGACCTAATGTCTCATCTTGAGTGTGTGCACCATTGAGGCGTATAAACAACATCACTGTGTGTCCACAGTTTCTTGGTTCTGGTACATTTCTTCAGCTTTTTTTTTAAGGTACATATAAGCGTGGGGGTGCGATTCGCTATCAATGAGACTTTTCTGTTGGGAAACATGTAAATATACGATGGTCTTTATGTCAGTGAAGCTGAGTCGTTGATGTGGTAATTCTGTATTAGACACAACACTGACTACTACCTATTATACATAGTCGTTGAGGACTGACGGCATCTTTCCTAAGTCACTCCAACCTTGTTAATCTCATTTGAATAAATCCAGATATCCTTTTCCTTAAATCCCTATAAATTGGTGAGTATGAGTATGTGCGTGGCTGGTTCAGCAATTCTAAGCTGAAGGAAATTATATCAAATGGTCACATGCTCTCCTTGCGCTATAGCTGTTAATTTAATAATTAAAAAGACCTCCTCGGGCATCCGGTTAGCTTACCTGGTAGAGCTGGCGACCATGTACCGATTCCTTGCTGCAGCGGGCCAGGGTTCGAATCTGACCTGC